GAGTTTCCATTAGGGTTAGAGGAGAGAACCCTGAATGGGCATGTAAAGGGTTCCATATTTGCAAATATGAAGGGAAGGGAAGGGAAGGAGCAAGGAGGAAGGGAAACAATTCCTAAAAGGAAAATTAAGATACTGGACATCCACATGAAAGGAGGCAATGAGGGCTGCCTCCTTTTGTGGATGAGAAAAACAGGAGCAGGGGAAGAACAAATCAGGGCCTGTAGAGATTATAGTTCAGAATAAGCACCAGTTTAACCCTGTTACCAAACAATTGTAATCTGGGCTGGAATGTTTAAAGTTGGCTTCAGAAATGGCCAGGAACAGCGTGAGACAATTTAGGCTGCTGTACAGAATTGCCCTAGGTAAAGTTGTTCACTAATTCAGAGTAGAAATCCTAGGAATATTGTTTATTTTATAGCTGCTTTGTGATTTAACTCAATTTACTAAAATATATATACTGTATATTTCTGCCACAAGTGCAGTACACTACATTGGCTGCAACTGTAAAAAAATTTAAGTTAAAGGAGCAGGGGCGGGATTCTGGAATAAAAATTATAAAGTTCAGAACAAGATATGAATTTCTGAACCACTAATGAATACTCCAGATTTTTAGCAAAGTATGCAGCTGAGATCATAAGAAACATCTTCCTTATGTATGTGTGCATCTCTATACTCATCCTTTACTTTTCATACGTTGATATGTTTATGGGTGACATAAATCGGTATATATGTTTCAACATAAAATGTCACTGCAAATTGCATAAGGAAATATAAGATTTGGGTTGTATGCTTAAAAAAAATGAAAAGTTCATTGTTTCCAGTTTCACTTTCTGTTGCTAAAGAAATAGAATATTTCTTTTTATCTTTCCTCCTCCAGTAGAATATATTGTAAGGTGTGTCTAATATGGAAAAGGCAGCTAAAATTTTACACAAGTTTGGGATGTTTTGAGCAAGAGACAGCAAAGTATCTTAATACCTGTAGAAGGAAATCTCAATCTTATGTCAGAATATCAGTCACATGAATGATGGTGCTAAATTTGGTGATTATTCTCATTCTAAATTTACAGTGATTCTGATTTTTGGGCCCCATATATATTTAATAAATTATTATGTTTGTTACTTTCATCTGGTTTTTGGACCAAACCACTGGATCTTGAGACAATTCTATGAAATAAGTTTTCACTGTCGAATATATAGAAAATACATTACCATTTTCTCCATCTTGGAGTCCAACATTTTTGTACAATGTATGTAATTTTCTTTTAAAATGGTGATAGGCTTGAAATAGTGGCAAATAGCAATAGCAGTATAGCAATAGCAGTTAGACTTATATACCGCTTCATAGGGCTTTCAGCCCTCTCTAAGCGGTTTACAGAGTCAGCATATCGCCCCCACAGTCTGGGTCCTCATTTTACCCACCTCGGAAGGATGGAAGGCTGAGTCAACCTTGAGCCGGTGAGATTAGAACCGCTGAACTGCAGATAACAGTCATCTGAAGTGGCCTGCAGTACTGCACCTTAACTACTGTGCCACCTTGGCCCAGATCTGTAGCTCGGGTGTAGGGTGATTGTGGGGGTTCGCTCTGCGAGCTTGTGGGTTGGTTTCCGAACCTTTCATTACCAGGTTAGCTAACAGTGGAATTTAGGGGGTGTCAGTGTCAGTGTTCTTCTGCTTATAAGGGCTTGTGATAAGCTTCTCAATTATTTTATAGGCTTCTTCCTCTTCCTTAGGGTATGTTGCAGTGTTTGTATGAATGGGAAATACTAAGACTTTCTTTGCTGAGGGTAGCTTCAACACATGTTGAAAGGATCAAGATAAAACATTTAATACTGGCAGGTATTTGAGATTTATTAGTTCAGCTTATCTTGCCCCCAATCCCCAAATATTGCATGATGACCTTGATTGCCATGTGACTATCTCTGAAAACCATTGGCTGGAGACTTGTGGATTTGATTGGCCACTGTGAAACTGAGACTGCTGAACTTTGATACAGCAGACACTGTTTATGCTCTTCTGAAATACAGAATGGGAAGTACAGATTTGCATTCCACAAAGATTTTACTCACTTATTGGAAAGTAACTCATGATCTATCAGCACTTTTATTCTGTCCAGCACAGCATGCCATTTATATTAGCTATTAAATAGGATTGAATACTGAGTTCCACTGAAAGTCTACAATTAAAAGCTATCAAACTTAGCATAGGGAACTATATTTTTAGATACTGTAGAAAATAGATGAACTCAGAAGAATTTGGGAGATTCATTAGGAATTTAATCTTAATAAAGAGGTTTGGCTCTAACCAAACAGACTTCATTACTAGAGTGTACAATTAGCCAACGCAGTACAGAATACTAAGTAAATATTTACTATTGTGTCAAAGGTGCAGTTTGTATGTGTTGGAACTGCCCACTGCACTTCAGAGCAGTCAATATAAACAACAAGACAAACTTTATAGTAGGTTGTTATTGAAATACCATTATTATGATACATGTGTGCAATCACCAATCGTTCTTGCTTAGAAATGTGTAGGTGACTAAATGTGGATTAGCTAATGGCTTTGTGCTGTTTGAAATCCCTTAGATTGCTTGTATGTATGTATGTATGTATGTATGTATGTATGTATGTATTATTATTATTATTATTATTATTATTATTATTATTATTATTATTATTATTATTATTATTATTATTATTATTAT